TGGTTCAGGACAGCTCCATTCTCATGGTCTTGTTTTTCATGGTGTAAGGAGGAGAGAAGGCTAGAGTGAGAGAGGCTAATGTGCAGTCACACATTCTGAGGACAAGTCAATCTTCTTGTAGTTGGCCTTATGGTTGGAGTTTCTAAAGCAGAGAGGGTGTTTTATTTTCTGAGCAAAGGAAGGAGCCACTGGACATGTAGATCTGCATAACTTGCAGTTGTCAGTGCTGGAAATGAACCCCTAGATTGTTATTTTTCTAAACAAAGCAGGACAGTGGCAGTATAAACATTGAGTGAAAATATTTGGCCAATGGATATGAAACCAAAAGGAAACAACTTTCGTTTCCCTTTGGTACTTTTGTTTTGACATTTGGCAGCATATTTCTAATCTTTTAAGAATTAAAAAAAAATTATGGTATGCAAACTTCTGCTTGTTTATGCTTGTTAAATTTAGTATGAAATAGACTAAAAAATTCTCCTCCTGTTCCATGTTAGCCTGCTCTTTTTTGTTTTTTTTTCTGGAGGGGGTGTGGTCAAGGGACCGGTGGGACAGTAGCAGTCAGAATCCTTGAGGGTGCTGGGATCCCTATAACTGAAGCAGGTGCTATTAGCCTTTTTCCCCAAAGCTATCAGGCCTCTTAACCTTGCTGATGCTTGAAGACTGGTCCTCTTTTGTAAATGAGGACACATTTTATAGATGAAGTTCCTGGTGTTGACTAGGTGTGGATAGACAGTAATCTTTCTACCCTTGCTGAGTTGCTAAAGCTATAACAATATCCATATACCGAGATAGGTTTGTTTTTTTTTTTTTTTTTTTTTTTTTAGTCTTGTTTTTGAAACAGGATCTAACACTCTTGGACTAGCCTGGAGTTTCCTATAGAGCAAACTGGCCTTACACTCATGACAATCCTACATAAGCTTCCTGAGTGATGACGGCATTATAGGTGTGCTCAAACACCCAGTTGTTTGTTTTTGATAGGCACTGCTTTACATTCACTATGGGCTTTAATGGGCCTTGCTTTGGAGGTTTGGTGAGGTGTGGAGAGTTAGTGAGGCCATAGGAGGGAGGATGGGAAGGATTTGAGTAAGTATGCCTGGATCCTTTTCCTTGAGGTGTCATTCATTCTTGTAGCAGGTATATGCTAGGCACTTGGCTGGGCTTGGTGTGCTTCAGTGGAGATTATCCACTGAGAGTCTCAGTTCTGGTTGTTGTAGGAAGAAGCAGTGAGATTACAGACAGTGGCGGAAAGTCTAGGCAAGTTCCTAGGCCTCTCAGTCGTTTGCTTAGGCCCGGAAAAGCAGCAAGTAGGTGGTAGATTGCAGGCAGGGAATCCCTGGCATTATTGGGCCTGCTGGAGAGATAATGGCTGCAGTTTTGCTGTGAGATGGATGTGCAGTTGCATGTGTACAAGGGCACCTGCACTATCTTGGGGACCCTTAGTAGATGGCAGGTCTTTTCATCTGTGTATTGCTGTGTATAAGCATGAAGCGGATCCTTTTGGGCTCTGCATTCTGGTACCTTACTCTCCCCTGGTCCTTTCTTGATCCTCCCAGGTGAACATGTTGGCCCCAGGAGTGCCAACTGCCACTTGCTACCTCTGTTTTCAGTCTTGGCATGGTTAGCTGATTCCGATAGGAAAAACTAAGCTGCTTTTTCCTCTGAAGGCTGTTTATTTGCTGTTGGGGGCCTTGGACCTTACCATGTATGGTTATCAGGAGTCTTTGATAACCAATTTGATGGCTGTCCCTGCCTCTTCTCACCCTTTGCTCCGCCAGCAATTCTCTTTGTGGCATTCAAGTTTTGACCTGTCTTCATCCTTCCCACATGGCCTCTCTCTGTACTCCCTGATGAAGATTTCAGTGGTACCATTCTGAAATTAGTTTTGACTTTGGCAGTATTTCCTACAGTACTTTTCAGTGTTGTGTAGTTCAGTGGTAATTTTAATAATTCCTTATCAGTCAGGTGGTGGTTGCTCACTCCTTTAATCCCAGCACTCAAGGCAGGTCAATCTCTTGAGTTCCAGGCCAGCCTGGTCTACAGAGTCCTAGGCCAGCCAGGGCTGATACATGGAGAAACCCTGTCTTGTAAAACAGCAGCAGCAGCAACAACAACAACAAAACTAGTGCTTTCAAAATGCCCACGAACTTTTACAGTTCCCCAGAGGTGAACAGTAAATATGAGTATCTAGTAAGTCTACTCTTTAGTGGATACTCAGAAGGGAGAAAACATAGCCCTACAAAATTTGTACACAGATGTTCCTAGCAGCATTATTTATAATAATAGGCCCAAATGTTGATCAGCTTAAATAGATATACAAAGATAAAATGTGGTACGTCTATGCAATGGTAAATCATTTAGTTGTAAAATTGAATGGCTCACTGATTCAGCATGGATCAGTCTTTATTTTTTTGAGTTGAGGTCTTTATGTGTAGTTCTGGTTATCCTGGAACTTGCAGTGTGACCAGGCTATCCTTGAACTCAGAGATTCTTCTGCCTCTTCTTTTTGAGTACTGTGATTACCACCATGCCCTGCTGTTTGAGTCTTTAAAATAGGATGCTAAGTGAAAAAGGCCAGGCATAAAAGGCTATATATTGTCTGACTCCATTTATGTGCTTGTGAATAAAGAACCAAAGTAAGAAAATTCATAGAGGCAGAAATAGAATAGTAGTTGGTGGGGATCTAGAGGGATGAGGGCAAATGACTAGTAATGGATACAGGGAATTTGAGAGAGATGAAAATGAACGATTTGATAATGTTTTAATTTGATAGTGATGCTTGTACAAAATTGTGAATAAGCTAGAAACAAAACTGAATTATGTGCTTTATGGTGGAAAATTTTCTGCTATGTGAGTCATACCTCAATACAAACACCACCTTCCCGTACCATAGTGATGATAAACTTATGTCACATATATTGTTACTCAAAACTGGTGGTTTCTCTGTGTGTAGCCCTGGCTGTCCTGGACTTGTTTTGTAGACCAGGCTAGCTTGGAACTCACAGAGCTCTACCTGCCTCTGCCTCCCAAGTGCTGGGATTATAGGCGTGCACTACCACACCTGACAAAACAAAACAAAACCCAAAAAACCCAAAACACCTTCTTGATCATTTTTGGAAGTCAGTGTGGTAGTCTGACCTGATCCTGCTTCAGGAGAAGGCATTTTCTGAGGAAAGGCAGAGCTTTTCCAGTGCTGCCTGCACTGCACAGACCTGGGAATTCCATGTCCTGTCTGGGTAAGAAACAGTTGCTTCCCAGCCATGCAGACCAGAGGGTTTTTCTCACGCCTGCAGTTCAAATTCAGACAGGAAAAGTTAGTTTTGATGGATTTGTCTAAAGCCAGAAAGAAGAAAGATGAGACCAGAAAGCTGGGCACAGTGGGGAGGCAGAGGCAGAGGCAGGTTGATCTCCTGAGTTGGAGCCAGTGAGTGAGTTCTAGGACAGCCAAGGCTACACACAGAAACCCTGTCTTGCAAACAAAACAAAACAAAAGAAACAAAAGATGAGACCAGAAATTTGAAGTCTGGGATCATGCTGGCCCTGTGCTGGCAGTGTAGTTTGGGGGCCAGTTATTTACCCTTTTGATGCCTTGGCTTCCCCTCTGTATGAAAGTGGAGATGCAATGCTCTCTTAGAGGGTTATGAAGGTGAGAGGGTAAACACCTGCAGTGCCTTGGAACGGCACCTGGTGGGCACTAAGTGCTCAGTCAGTACTCAGCTTCTGCCTGGCCCTCCGCTTTCTAGAATTCTTCTAGTTCTGGTACTGCCCCTGGGAGCTAGTACCTTTAAGAAGCAGTCAGGGTGAGGAAAGTACTGGGTCTGGAAGAAGAGATCATCTCTCTAGGATGTCTCTCTGTCTTCTTTGGGGGGAGAAGTTTTTGTGTTGTCTACTGCCAGGTGTCCTCAGGACCTGCTAAATACCCGCTGTGACATGCATGTGTCTCTGGGCCAAGGGTGGGAAGAGCTCTTTGGATACCTGTCACTTGCCAACCCCATTTAGTAGCAGCTGGTGTTGCTTTTCTTAGTCAGAAAAGCAAGAATATCCACTGTCCTCTGGCCACATTCTGTGGTGGGCAGAAGAATTGTCTGGCCGATTCTGTGCATATTGCCATCAGGACTGCCAAGAATAGGCTAAGAGGGTACTGAGTGACTCCTGATGTAGACCTTGGGCTCAGTGGTGTAGCAGGTATTTGTTTTGTAGCGAGTACAAACTCAGCAGATGTGCATAGTAGTCTCTAAGCAGTTTATCTTTGGGCATGCAGCAGTTCAAAGGGGCCGAATTGAGGAGTGGAGAGAGGCAGGAAATGGGAGTACAGTGTTAGTGTGTGTCGGGCAAACTGAGTCTGCAGGATGTAGACATTCTAGACTTTCTCTTGGTGTCTGTGTTCATCTTCTGAGATTGAGTGCTTACAGGTACCAGGTGCTGTACTAGGCACTGAGAGACAGTATTGAAGAGATGGATAGAGACTCTGTTGGCACTGAGTGTAGTGTGGGCCAGCAGTCTGGGAGCAAGAAAATGTTGTGATACATGGTTGTGCATGTGCTAAGGCAGGCGGATCTCTGAGTTTGATGCCAGCCTGTCTGCAAAGTGTGTTCTAGGACACATAGAGAACCCTGTCTTGAACCCCCAAAAGGGGGACAGGGAAAAAATGTCAAGTGGAAGAATGCCTGCAGAATGCCTTTTGGTTTTTGAGGAACCCCTGTTTTACTAACACCTAAATGACAAGGAGGCAGCCCAGTGGCATTTGAGAAGGATGAAGATGGTTGGGGTAGCAGTTGTGGGTAAGGCTCTAGGCAGGAACCTATCTGGCATTGAGGTTTCTTCAGATGACAATATATTGTATAGTAATTGAGGAAAGGGCTGGAAAAGGGGGTGTTGTATTAATGTTGGCACCAGAAGAGCTACCTTGAGGCCTGACCATTCCCCGGAGCACCTGGTTTTGGATGCTTGGGTCATTTAAGCTTGGTGAGGAGTTCAATAAATATCTCTGTCTCTTGCTCTAGTGCTGCTGAAGTGGGGCACATAGCCAGCTGCAGGCTCAGGGGATGCCAGCCACCAAATGCCAGCCGTCTGTAAGTAACTCCCTTGACACCCACGGGAATCCATCCCTCCTTCCCAGCACTGTGGGCAGAAGCTAAACTGACCCCCAAGAAATGTTAGTTTCAGGGTAGCAGGCAGCCAAGCACTCAGTTTCCTCCTTTGTGGTCTGTGTTGGGCAGACACCCACCTTCAGCTCCCTTTAGGGAAAGTGTGAAATCACTGTAGGGCCAGAAGCCTAGAGGCTTGTGGCATGTGGCTGAGAGTTCCACTTCTTACCCACATTGCTTCCGTTCTCTGGCTCCTCAGAAGATGCTGACAGCTAAGCATTAGCACCACCCAGTAGTCACCAGCCAGGTCTAAATTAAGCCCAAAATCATGGGAACTTGCGATTTTCCCATGCAGTTCTTCATTTCCTTGAGTGTATTGAGTTGGACAGTTCTGGAAGTATGAGTAGTGGTCATTTACAGCCTGTCCCTAGGTGGAGAGGCCAGACCAGGAGTTGTATGGTATGGGCAGTTGTCCCTTCCAGCTGTTGCCAGTGTCAGTCATAACATGCTACAAATGAAGGGACTATGGTCATATTCTTGGAGGAATGAGGTAGTCCTGTCCTATCTGTCTGTTCCTCTGACCCCCTTAGAGCATTTCTCTACGTAGCCTTGGCTGTCCTGGAACTCACTTTGTATACTAGGCTGCCATTGAGGAGTGAGGTTTTGAGGGCTGATCTATGTACTTGTAAAAGGCAGAAGCCCTCCCTTAGCCCAACAGGGAGCCTATGGGCTGAAACTTTACTTCAGCTGCCCCACCATTGCCTAGCTGAAGGGTTGGCCGAGAGCATCTGATCTAATCCCATTGTTTTAGAATCAAGACGGTGTAGCTGTTGGGCCAGCATAGCCTTTAGCCTTGCTCTCGTGTTTCTCTGCTTCTTCTCCTGGCTCTCCATCATGCCACCTAGCTTGCCTTTTCGCATGGTTTTAATAATACTGCTCATGTTTCGGTTATTTGCAAAACTACTATATTGAATCTAGGGAGGTGGGAAGGCGTGATATAAATGAACTTGGGGTTTCTTGTTGGCTTGTTTATGGGACCCTTTTGTACAGGTGCCAGGGTGTTTGACCCTCTAACCCAGTGGGAGGATGGTCATCGTGGTCCCACCCTCTGGTCAGCAGCAACAGCTCCAGCCAGGTCTTTAGACTCAGTGCATGATTGTGTCTTACCTTTGTAAGCTGCGTCCACTGACTGCTCTTCCCAAGGGCTAAACCATTGCAGCCTGTTAATGAAGAGAAAAGAAAAATGCCTCATGCATGTTTTTGTTTTGGATTTAAAAGAGTTATGTGCATGGAAGTCACAGGCAGCTATGTGGCACCTGTCAGCTCTCCTGAGCTTGTTGCAACATTTGTTAGATCCTAAGGGATGCTGTCTGGTTTTCTTTGTGGAGGACTTCCTGCCTGCCTGAAAGGTGGTGCTGAACTATATGGGGCTTGGTTCTTCCTGTTCCGTCAGCTCTCAGTCTCCATGTTAGTGTAGGTGGGCAGACACCCTAAGAGTCTATGAAGAAAAATGTAAAACTTTACTTCAGCTGCCCCACCACCTGCCAGCCCAGTCATGTTTGTTTTCCCTCTGGAGCCTTTGCGCTTATGAACGTAAAGGTTTTCTTAAGTCCATTTTCTTACCATGGATGTAACATTTGACCTTTTTAGCCAGCCAGAAATTACTGAAATAAAGGTGGCTAGGTTCTTTTAGAAAAGAAGAAATTCTTTGTGGCTCACTTCTATTTTTTTTTAATGTTGTAAGAGGAATAAAGAACTTTCCCTTTTCACTGGTCCCCTCTATGTGAGCAGCAGTTTATAAGGCTTTAAGTTAAAGCTAGCCTGGCTGAGGCAGAGCCACAATGGCCCTTTCTCTTCAGACTGAAATAATCACTGTTGAAAAGAATGTGGCACTGTCCATATTGTTCTGACTGGGCTGTTGTCCTCTGGAGGGCCTGTTTGGCTCCGTCACATGAACTGTGTGTGGTCTAGTACCTTCCTTGTAGGGACACCGTGGGACTTGTCTCTGAAGAAGATATAGGTCTTTCTTCGAATGGACTGCCTGTACAGGAGATAGTGAGGTAATTAAGGATCACCAGGTCACACCTCTTTTTAGGCTCCTGCCTCTCACGTGGCCATAGACACTATGGCTTCCCTTCAAGAGTGCCTTCTTCTGACCCACAGCTTCTGCTTTTGGATTTTGAATAGATTTCTAGGAACTTCTGGTAAATAGGGTATGTAGACCACAGTGACACAATGCTGGTGAAAATGTAGTCATAATTCACTTCACAGGCTATCAGCTGCTTTTAGAAAGATGAAGTATGTGTAAAGTCACAGGAAGCTGCCTGGCTCCCGTTTTGAGTTTCTTTATGAGGTGAAGATGTCTAGTTTAGTGATTTATCAATTGGGCCTGGTTTGCCAGCATTAGTTACTGTGGAATAACCTGTGTCTGTTAGGTTTGGGAGGGAGTGTTGACAAACAGGTGCTGCTGTGTTCCTCAGAGTAGGTATTGATCCTTGCTAGTAACCACAGAGCTGGTGTCAATTAATGGTTGAGGGTCTCCTTACAGTTTTTCTTTATTAGTATGCATGGATGTTTTGACTGAATGTGTGTATATGCAGTCAACATGTATTGTGTTCACGGAGACCAGCAGGGGGTATCTGAATCCTTGGAATTGGAGTGACAGATGGTTTGGGGACCATCTTGTGGGTGCTGGAATCTGAACCCTGGACCTCTGGAACAGCTAGCTGTCTGGGCTGCTGAGCCATTTCTCCAGCCCCTGTGTTTGGCAGATCCTTGGCTGGGCTGCTGAGAGCTCTGTAGTCCTAGGGTGGAGGGCATTTCCGGCCAGCTGCACAGATCTTCGGAGCACATTTTAATGGCGTTGTATTTGCTTCCAGGTACATCACTCTAACCTTGGGATTTTTATTCAGGTTTTCCTGTTTGTCTCTTTCTAGTCTCCACTGTCACTTGAATTTTGACTACATTTTCAAGTATGTCAGACTCCACTTCCCAGTCTCTCCAGATGTAGTGAGGTAGTGGTTACTGCGTTTCCTGTCATGTCACTTGCAGAAGAGTGTAGGTGGTCCTCACCTTTCTGTTGGCTTGCTGCTTTCTTGGGTATACTGAGTTCCCTTGATGTCAGCCTGGCATTTTGGGCTGAGAGTCTAGTGTGGTTCAGAGCCAGGCTTTTATTGGAGGTCCTGGGGCTTAGAGAGTTCTATATTCCACACACCCCTTTGCTGTTGCCAGCTTTCTACTTTGTGTATTTTCAGGTGTTGCTTATTACATGCCCTATTGCAGAGTTCAATGTCCTTCCCATGCAGCTGAGCAGGGAAGGGAGCAATCCAGGGAGAGGAAGGTTTGTTCCAGTTAGATTCCAGGTTCTGGGCTATGTGAGGATGTGTAGGAAGGAGGATCTCAGCCTGTTGCAGAAGTCAGCCAACTTTAAGACTCCATACCTCATGTTTTACATCTCTGTAATGGAAAAAACAAAATAAAAAAAACCTGTCTTTACGGTCATGAGTGATAAGGAGGCATCAGGCCATAGGAACTGAGCAACTATAGCAGGACTGGCTCAAGCCCTTGCTTTCTCTTCAGTTGTCCTGGGAATCTTCTAGGTTTTGGTTTCTTCATCTCACAGATGGGGAATCTCGCTGTCTACTGATGGATTGTGACTTTGAGGGCGGGAATACTGTTTCTAAGTGTACTATCATTAATTCAAGTGTTTATTTCATGTTGGGCATGGTACTGGATGCTGGGTATTCACTGAATGGGATAGATGGTGATCACCATACTTGACAATCAAAGCCCCATGCTGGAGATGTGGACCCTGCTTTAGCTCTTTCTCATCTGGAGAGAGAAAGGAGATGGGTGCACCGGGAGCCTGTGACTAAAGCTCTGGGTCTCTGTCTCCTGTGAGATGAGGGGTTAGGCTTGACCCTGTTCACATTCTGGAAGCTCCTGAGAGCTGGGGTAGGTGGTATAGGTTGTTAGCTTCGCTCTAGAAGAGCAGTTGGGTCTTAAGTAATCCACGCTCAGGGAGGGTCACAGAGAAATGGCCTTGAAGGAGAATTTTCCAGGTACTTGGGGGCTTATGAGCCAGAGCCTAATTTTAAAGCCATGGACAGGCACTTTAGGCTTAAGATATTCTTCAAATGTTACTTTCTTGCCCCCACATGTAAAACTTTCAGGACTGGACCGGGGTGCATCTCAGGGTACATGGTGGATATGATAATAGCTCAGAGTTCAGTACCCAGTACCAAAAGGTTAAGATAAACTTATTAGGACATCTTCCCCAATATCCTCATCTTTGGTTTTTGGTTGGCAGTGAACACACAGCCCACAAGCTAGCCATACCAGCAAGAGCTTCAGCAGATAGAACATTGTCATGATGCTTGCTTAAGGTTCAAACAAACTTGAATTTAAGGTTTATTCTTTAGCACGTGTCATTTCTGATCTGATCTCAGTTTTGAAAGCAGGATGGACATTTTGGATCCATGGAACTGGGGTGTGTTCTCTCACACAGTTTGTGTTGGGCTCTCCCATCCTCACCAGTGCTTTGTATCAAAGCAATGTGTTTGTTTGTTTTTTTCTCTTTCTGTCTCTCTAGGGCATGGCTTCCAGCTTCGGGGACCTGAGGCTTTGGAGGAGGAAATGACTGTTGACGGTCTTCTGTTCCATCTGCATTACGACATTCAAACTTCCTAGAGTGCAGGCTTAGGGGACAGGAAAATTTCTCTTGAAGGGCTCCACATTTGTAACAAAGAAGGTAAAAATGACAACTTCATCTATCAGACGGCAGATGAAAAACATTGTGAACAATTACTCAGAGGCTGAAATCAAAGTCCGGGAAGCCACCTCCAATGACCCGTGGGGCCCATCCAGCTCTCTGATGACTGAGATTGCTGACCTGACCTACAATGTGGTGGCCTTCTCGGAGATCATGAGCATGGTTTGGAAGCGACTTAACGACCATGGCAAGAACTGGCGACATGTGTACAAGGCACTGACACTGCTGGACTACCTGATCAAGACAGGTTCTGAGCGGGTGGCCCAGCAGTGCCGTGAAAACATCTTTGCCATACAGACTCTGAAGGACTTCCAGTACATTGACCGTGATGGCAAAGACCAGGGCATCAACGTGCGGGAGAAGTCAAAGCAGCTGGTTGCTCTCCTCAAGGACGAGGAACGGCTGAAGGCCGAGAGGGTTCAGGCTCTCAAAACCAAAGAGCGCATGGCTCAGGTGGCCACTGGTGTGGGCAGCAACCAGATCACCTTCGGTCGTGGTTCCAGCCAACCCAACCTTTCTACCAGTTACTCGGAGCAGGAGTATGGCAAGGCTGGGGGCTCGCCAGCCTCCTACCACGGCTGTGAGTAGAAACCAAAGTACCCCACCTTTACTCGGGCAGGTGTTGGAGCTAAGGCAGATTTGATTGTGCCCTCAGTTCTCAGCTTCTGGCAACCCAGGTGACAACTTTCTTGATCTGGACTGAGTTAGTCACAAAGGGTCTTTTGGTCCCCTGGCTGCTCTGTGGCTCTTCTGGGGATTTAGGTAAGGCTGTGCCCATGTTCCAAGGCCAGTCTCACCAGATTTTTTTTTTTTTTTTCCCAAGAATGTCTGTCAGCAAAGGGATTGTTCTGCTGCCCAAAACTACAGGGATTCAAATACCTGGTAGCCAAGAGGAATTGAAGTCTGTATTTGATCATCTATTTCTGAGTCTTGCAATTAGTGTCTTTCTACTGACTGAGTTGCAGATCTCTGGAATGGCTTAATGCTTACTGTTACAGTTCATTAACCAGAGAGTCAAGGTTGGGTGTCTGTTTCACCTAGAAGGAACAGTGCAGCAGCAACGAGGCCTCTTTCTCATATGTGCAAAGGACTCTCCAGAATTTGATTTGGTTGCATGGCTGTATCTACGCTGTGCAGGGCTGCTCTATGATTTGATTGTGTGTTGGATTGTTTGGGTCTTTGGCCTGTAGTCAGAAGAGGTTTTCGGGGAGAGGGAAGTGGTGTTTGGGCCTTGTAGAAGCTGGTTTCTGATTCACCTGGCTACTTCCAGGAAGTGATCCAAGGCACACTGTTCATCCTTTACTTCTTAGGGCGAGGCAGACACAAAGGACCCTGAAAGGTGGCTCTAGTGGCCCTTGGATGCATAAGTTTTATCTTCTGGTTGGTAGCAGAAAAAGGTTTCTAAACCCATACCTTTTGGAATTAGTACATAATGTCAGCAAAGCAGAAATTTGTTTGTGTTTTTTTTTTTTTTTTTGAGAGTGGTTCTCCCTGTGTAGTCAGGCTGCTTGCAAACTTGCTAAGTCTTCCTTATGCAACCTCTAGAGTTTGGGTGACGGGTGTGTACTATCTGCATGACTAGTATGGCAGAACACTTTCCAGTCTTAATGGTTTTGCTACTCATTTCCCACTTTTGTATAAGAGGTTTCAGTTTGACTTTCTTCGTATCACCATTAGAAGTTTGAGAAATGTATTATGTGCAAGATTTACATACCAAAAGTCAGGCTTCCTGCCTTTAGGAATTCTGAGTTATTATTAGGGTTGGAGCAGGTTAGCATTTTCTTATCATATTTCTGGTTATTATAATTTAATATTTTTAGTTTGAATTGCTTTTGTTAAGTAATGATGATGACTTTTGTGAGATCACTTGTACCCAAAGGCAACCTTAAGTCTCTTGAAATCTCCCTGGATTAAGTATTAATATGTACACACAAATAAATAAAACATACATGCATACATATATACACATATACATACACACATACATATGTACATATATACAAAAGATTGGCCTGTAAGAGGAGGATTGTTTCATTTTCCTCAAGGATCCTCCTGTGGAGGATACAGAGGGACTGGAATCACCACAGCTGATGAACAGGGTAGAGCATCAAGGTGTGGGGCCGAGATGGGAGTATGGGGGCCTGGTTGCTTCATCAGGTCCTTCTTACACCATGTCTAAGATCTTTAGCCATAGACCCTGGCTGGATTTTGAGGTTCTGATGCTCTAGCTGTGAATGTTCCTTTTTCTTAGACATTGATTTTGAACTGCCACCCAGGGTCAGAAGGTGGCAACAGGGCTTTTCAAGATTTCTAAGCACAGGGAATCTGACTTCAGGGATGAAGCAGGACCCTGGGTGGCCTTGGCCTATGTCCCGTACACACTGCTGCGCATCCTCTAATGGCGTGTCTCTTTTTGTGTATGTGTGTGTGTGTCCCTGCCCAACAGCACCAGAGGCCTCGCTGTGCCCCCAGCACCGTGCAGGGGCCATGCTGGGTCAGAGTGAGGAGCTGCAGCCACTGAGCCAGCGCCACCCCTGCCTGCCGCACCTGGGCCTAGCCTCCCGCCCAAATGGTGACTGGGCCCAGCCATGCCTCACTTGTGACCGCGCAGCCCGAGGTGGGACAGCGGTTTGCTTTTCTTTGTAGAAATGCCATGCAGCTTGCTGAGGGTGGGGCTTGTCATGCCAGTACAGCCAACTCTCTCCCTATCTCCTGCTGGATCTCCTGTCTAGCTTCCAGTGCCTGGACTCATTTCTGCCTCTCTTTCTGGGAGCTCAGAGCCCTGTGTACCCCTGCCCACAATCATACCACCTGCTTAAAGGGGAGCTGCTTAGTGGGTTGGTATGGGTGATGACCCTATCCTCCCTGTATCTCTTGTTCTGCAAACTAGAGGGTGTTCTGCTGCCTGCCAGGCCACCAGTGGTAGTGGACCCAAGTGATTGGCTTTTTGAGGTGGAAATGTATGCTTTCTGAAATCTGAGCCAGTAGCAGACCTTCCTTCAGTGATGGGCACTGGAAGCCATCCTTCCCAGTGTAGGAGTGGAGCTTTCAGTGGGGTTGTTTTTGCTTTCCAGTGGACTGTTATATCATTGCTGAAATCGCCACTGCCACAATAAACAGAGAGTTAGCTGTACTGTCAATTCTAGGTCACTGTGTTTCAAGAGGCTGAATTCAATGGGTAACTAAAAAAATGGGGCTTCTCTTTTGCCTAATTAATAATGCATCTTGGTCAGAGCTACACTGTTACAGGTTAAACTGGAAACAGATTTTCACTGTTGCTCACAAGAAAATGCTCTGTCTAATCTCCCTTTGGTCATAAATAGGTTCCCCACTTGAGAAGAAAGCCCTGTCTTCTACTTTTGCCCAAGGGGCACCAACAGCAAGCCTTTGTGTAATTCCCTGATAAGGTGGCCAGCCTCTATTCAGCCCTGGAGAAAGTTCCTTCTTGTTCATGCCTCATTAATACTGCAGCTTGTGTGACTTGCATATTTTTGTGATCACTGTATTTAGTTATGGAATATTTTCATTTGTTCTGTCTTCTAAGAGTTTGTATGGGATTGTGGCTACTTCACTGTTTGCAAAGGTAAAGAGAACCAGCTTTTTTTGCATAGTAACTGATGTCAATTTCATAGTAACTTGTTCGGAAGGGTTTCTCAGTGACAGGGAACTTGCATACCCATTTCTTTGCCACCACTTATTAGCATTTGTTCTCTCAGGTTCTCCTGCTTCCTCTCCTTTTTCTCTTTCCTAGTCTTTGACTCAGGTGAGTTGTTTGAGAGGGGTACACCTAAGTCCCCAGACTCTGCAGACCGAGTATAACAGCAGCCACAGGAGAAGACATCTTGAGATTTTGACTATTGTCCTGATTGATGGTGGCATGATGGTGTTTGAGGGTAGCTTTCTTTCACAAGCCATTTTTTTTTTTTAATTTTTATTTTTCTTCTCAATGCTTTGTCTGTAAAAATAACCTTGGGAAGCTCTCAAATTCTGTTCTTTATCTCATCTATGACATGTATCCACTGGTAGCTTCTGTTTGGTTTCTTTGCCCTCAACCTCAACATTTCCACCCATTCTTCTTTCTTACAAGCTCTAGTCCTGGGCTTAAGTACTGATTCCTTGCAGGATTATTCCTGAGATTTTGACATCCTTGAGAGGGTCTGGTAGAGTCTGGATGGAGGAAAATGAGTTGGACAGGGCTTTCCTAATTCCTCATAGGAATTAATTCCTTTCCTTTCCTTTCCTTTCCTTTCCTTTCCTTTCCTTTCCTTTCCCTTTCCCTTTCCCTTTCCCTTTCCCTTTCCCTTTCCCTTTCCCTTTCCCTTTCCCTTTCCCTTTCCCTTTCCCTTTCCCTTTCCCTTTCCCTTCCCCTTCCCCTTCCCCTTCCCCTTCCCCTTCCCCTTCCCCTTTCCCTTTCCTTTTCTTTCTCTCTTTCTCTCTCTCTCTCTCTCTCTCTCATTATGTATTCAGTGTTCTGTCTTCATGTACACCTGCACACCAGAAGAGGGCATTAGATCTCATTATAGATGGTTGTGAGCAACCATGTAGTTGCCAGGAATTGAGTTTAGGACCTTTGGGAGAGCAGCCAGTGCTCTTAATCTCTGAGCCATCTCTCCAGCCCTCTGATAGGAATTTCTAAATATTGTCACTGTGCTAAACCTTTCGCAGATTACATACTTGGCTCAGTGGACCAGCATCTGCATGAAAAAAAAAAAAAAAAAAAAAAAAAGGCTTTTACACGGGGAAGAAGGGATCAGGGTATGTGGGTCCTTAAACCTGAGAGGCACTTGAGAAGGCTGAGAGAATTCCTCTGGCTTGAGCAGGAGGCCTCACTGGCCGGGAGATGGTGGGACTGGTAGCTTGATAGTCCTTGGGTTTGTTTTAGAGAAGATCCAAGAAGGCATATTGGAGGCCTGGATCACTCACTGAAGTGGAGAGGAGATGAGGCCAGCTTTGGCAGCTTTGCCAGCCTTGCCTCAGAGCTCTGTCCAGGAGGCAGGGGTGAGGGCTTATAGATACAGCAGTTTGGGGACTGCTTGTTGAAGTGTAATACAAGTGTGAGTAGAGTTCTAAATGGAGAGGCAGTCGGTTGTTCTGTTCCAGCGCTTTCAACTGTGCACTGTTAGCCTCCCCTGATGCTTATATCTCATAAAGGCTAGACCTCAAAAAAGCTGAGTTTCTGTCTGTCACTGTTGGCCACCTGTCCAGGTTTGCAATCGATGCTTGAAATTGCTCTGTCAATTCAAGCTCTGTAGTCCCGAGGAGTCTCTCAGGCTTGGAAGGTTGGAGTTTGTTTTCAGATCATAGAGATGACAGCCAGCTTGGATGGGAGTGCAGATGTGAGCAGCTTACCTGTTGGCTTACTTGAGGCACTAGCCGCTATGCACTGTGGGACTAGCAAAGCTGCAGCTGTGAAGAGATTGAGCAAGTAGTTGGGAAGGGGTTGAGGATCTGCATCAAAGGTGGGATGCAAAGCCACGGCCTGGGGAAGAAGATTGTTGTAGTCTGATTTGATGGTGTGTCAGCTCAAGTACAGCCAGTGTTCCTCCCTCCTCCCTCCTACTGTCTCTCCTGCCTGCTCTGGTGCCCAGCCCACTGATGTCATGTGTTACTCTGCTGAATCTGCCTCTGAAGTCAGAGCTGCTGCTGTATCCTGATAAATGCCAGGAAGCATTTCCTTGGTGTTTGGTGCCCTGGGGAAGAGTTCCTGTAACCAACAGAGTTCCTGTTCTTGGAAATGAAGGAAGATAGGGAAGAGAGGAAGGCAGAGGCACTCGCTGCTTCTGGTTTGTCCTAGTGCCTCAGAGTACTTTGAAGTCTAGGAACCACAGTGTGGATGGTTTGTACTAACTAGGTGGGTGCTGTCCCTCGGCTCATCTTCTCAGAATGACCTGATAGCCTCTCCTGTCTAACTGTGCTGTGATTCTCGGGAAGGCCTAAGAAAGGCTGGGGATCCTTGAACTTCAGCCATGTGCAGAGACTGCTACTGCCTCCTACACCCTGGCAGGCTTACCAGGCGATTACTGGAGATTATGACCATTTCATGTCGTTGCTGGGCCCGCTTCACAGAGGATTTGAGTTGGCTTACAAAACACATGCAGTGCCACAGGATTAACTAGATACTAGAAGAAAGTGGGACAAAAGGAAAATAAGAGAGAGATACACAGTTGCTAGAGAGGGATCCAAATTTGGCTTTGAAAGTCTTAGCTACTGACACCAAATTGGGAGTTTCTCTTTGGTTTCTGAACAAGGGTTTAGGATCAAGGTAGGCACAAGAAAGGTGCTTACTGAGGTGTGCATAGAAGGGCATGGCTAGGGAGCAGCTGCCCAGACACTGGGAGCGACATCCTGTAGCTGTCCATGGCTGTCACCATGCAGCCTTGCCAACCCTTGAGTCTTGCAGATTGTTTCTTCACTTTCTGGTAGCCCAGCAGAAGTGCAAACTGATTTCACGTCCTTCTGAGGTCAGTATGGCCATTGGGTTTTGCCCACAGCAAAATCTCTTGCGTGTGTGTGTGCATGCATGTGAGTGGAGTCACTGTGGCTAAGGAGACAGGTCAAATCCACTCAGATCACAGATGTAAGTAGACCTTAGTTGTTTTTCGGTTTTAATTAGAATTATAAGGGGCAGGAAGATCAAGGGTTCAAGGCCATCCTTGGCCACATGGTGAATTAGAAGTCAGCCTGGGCTGCATGAGACCCTTTCTCAAAAAATAAACCCAAACTCAACAAAAGTTGAGTTAGGAAACAGTGTGATTCATGTTGCTTTTGTTTTTGTCTTCTCTCTCCTGCTTGTGTCACCAGCTTTTAAACTGGCTGTGTAAAAACTTTTATTTTAAAATATTCCTTTTTTTCTTCCTTTTTGTTTCAGTAATAAATATATTATCCACTTTTCAAAGTTGATCAAAGAACTTCCAAAATAACTTATTTTTTTTTTCAGGGATTATTTATAAACAGACTAGGCCACTGTGTCATCTTAAATCCCAGTTCTTCTTGTGGGCCTCAATTAAATGTCCACAGTGTTCTACTTTTCTTTTTCCACCTGATTCAGGGTTTCTCTGTGTAGCCTTGGCTTCCCTGTACTTGCTTTGAAGACCAGGCTGGCCTCAACTCACAGAGATTTGCCTGCTTCTGCCACCCTGAGTGCTGGGATTATGAGTGTACGCCATCACATTCAGTGTTCTTTTTTAATAATGCAGGTATCATGGTCTTCGGACAGGTGTAGAAGAGTCTTAGCAGCTTTTTGTCCTGATAGGCTTTGGTCCCTAGAACCTGGTCTGTCTAGTAGAAAGCAGTGGTAGGCGCACATGGGGCTATCCCAAGTATTAGCCAACCTGAACTGTTCACACCCACATCTGAAGTCTATTTATTATTTTATAATCACACATACAAACATATACTTTCTCTCTATCTGGATTAAAGTTCTCTCTTATTCCCTTCTAGCAAGTCCCCTCTTCTTTCCAACTCTACACACTACTTCTCTGGGAGGCTAAATGAATTAGCCCAGCTGTCTGTAGAGCATGCCTTTTTTTAAAAAATATTTTTTATACCATGTGTTTGTGTGTGCTTTAAATATTTTATGCATATATGTGTATACCTAAGTGTATGGATGTGAACCACATTTGTGCCTGATTGTCAGCAGAGGTCATAAGAGGCATCAGGTCCCCAAAAGCTGGAGTTATAGACTGTTGTGAGTCATCATGTGGGTGCTGAGAATCAAACCTGGGTCCTGGAAGAGCAGCCTGTGTTTTTAATTCCTGTGATATTAGTTTATCCCCCACCCCCTATCCTTTTATAGCACAGTCTCATGTAGCTCAGGCTGGCCTTTAACTCAGTTTATGGCCAAGGATGACCTTGCTCTCTGATCCTTCTGCCTCTGCTTCTCAAGTGCTGGGATTACAGGCATGTGCCACACATGCCCAGTTTATGTGGTGCTAGGGCTTCCTTCATGCTAGGTAGCACTCTACCAAACTGAGTCCCTGTCCAGGAACTTGCAAATGACTCCAAATGCCCCAAAGCCCAAGCCTCATTGACCACACCTCAAATCAAAAACCCTTCATCAGGAGTAGGCAGAACACAATCCAAATGGGGAGCCTTGGTCTGCCCAAGTTAGGAAGAATTCCATGGCTTCTTGTAGGACCAACTTTTGGTGTTCAGGAGCCAGAAAAAGACTTCTGAATGTCCTGCTCTCTCACTCTCTCCCTTATTCTCTTGAGACAGGTGTCTTACTGAACCTGGATCTATCCTGGCCCCAGTGATCCTATCTCCCCTTTCCCTCCCCACCTCTGTGTTGGGTTCACCTGAGGGCACAGTTACACCCATCTTTTTTAAATGGGTGCTAAGGATTTGAACTCAGGTCAGTAAGCACTCTTATCCACTGAGTCCATGTCATCATCTTCAGGGACAGATTTTGAGGGCAGTGTTTGCTTTTTCTTGGGTCTTTGTAAATTATGAACCTTCAGATGCTCCAAGTAGGGCCAGGTTAGTTAGTCAGAAGGATCCATTCAGGCCTGGCTCACAGGAATATCAGAACAGGAACATCTGTGTTCCCTGTCATGTGCCTGGGCACAAAAGTCTCTTTGTGGGGTTGAGATGCCATCACTGAGGCCAGAGTGTGTCTGCTGGAATCATCTCTCTAAGTAAGCCAAAGCCTGCTGTGCATGCTCAGCTGATTGTTCAAATGGTGGCTGTGGATTCTGCCACCTGTGGGACTCAGAGCTGGGTATCCGTCTATAAAACCACATCGTGTAAGGGAATATCCTGTAATACCCTTTGTCTTGAAGTTTTACATTAATGTTCTAAGGCATATCTATCTGTAGGGCTTGCTTTGCACCATTCTTACTGCCTTGGTGGTTTTAACAGTAGCATGTTCCACATTCATTTTAAGTCTGTCCGGCCTCACAGGTATCAAGCAGCCTTGAAAACCTGAGAAGCCTCTTCACTGTAGCAAAGAGGAGCCCCAACCATTTCTTCTGACCCACCCGATGGTCTCCTGTGACTTGATGGCCAGTGAGCAATCTTCCCTGCAGGATAAAACTCATTTTCTGAGTACTCCCTGCTTATGTGACCTTAGTGTTTATTCCTTCATGATTCCCATTGGGTTGTAAACAGGGTGTCAGTGCTGTATCTGATCTCAGCAGGGGAACTGTGAACCATTTATTCTCCACTCTTTATGGTAGGCTGTGGTTTTCGGGATTTGTACAAAGAAGCCACACTGAGTGGGCTGGAATCCCCCAGGTCTGTCTCGTAGACCTATCTATATCTTCTTGCCTTTGTTACCTCCAGCCTGGTTGATGACTTCTTTCCATGAGCATGGGAAAGAAGAGACCTGAGTGTTCTGATTGGCATCAGAGAGATTGGGAACAAAATCAACCAAAAGGTGTATTTTTTTTTTTTTTTAAGTGTACTGTTAAATCTAATCAGGAAAATGGGTTTGAGGCGGTTTTATTACCATCCATTTGTATTTCTGAAGAGGTCCTTTGAAAAGTAGAATTGGGGTAATGCTTTAGGATGGGATTAACAAGCCTGGTTTTATTTAGGAAGAACTTTACGCTGCAGCTTTTGCTTTGCCTGCTCAGGACAGGAGATGGGAGACAATTGGTTTCTTATACCACCACCATCACCACCACAAATAAGTCTAAGTTAAATGTTATCTGCGGTAGCCTGGGCTGGCTATCTAGAAACCATCTTTATCAGGAGTTAGTCCTGACCTGTCAAGGAGGCAGCTCCTAGGAACCAAGAGGATGTGGCAAGTGTTGTGGTAAGCAGTCTCAGTAGTTACCTTTGTGAGGATGAAGGTATTAAAACAGATTAGAACATTAAAGCAATTAGCCCAAATTATGAAATTGACTTATCCTTCTTACCCACCCACCCACCCATCCACGAAGGCAGCCATTCACGGGATAAATGTTTATTGGCTTGGCTGAGGGCAGGCTACTCTGTGGGTCCCAGTGCAGGAGGCTAAGCTCTGCAGTTGGTGAGCAGAAGGAAGAGGGTGTGCTGAGCTACACAGAAGCCAGAGGAGACCTGAGCCAGGAGCCATCAGACACAGTGGCTCCCTCAGCGGGTGGGCTTTCAGCTGCAGCTTTTATTGAAGCTGAGTGTGTGCAGAGGTGGGTATACTCAGCAGTGCTCTTTCACACTCATGAATATTCAACTGATCCTGTTGCATTTCAGCTCCTGACCGGAAAGTCCCTGGGTTAGTGTGAATGTAGATTCCTGGTTTGGGGTTTGGTACCCCAGCTAGGACTCTGCATCTCACACCTTCAATAAAAATAGTATTTATAGAGCCTCTTGTCAGTGTTAACTACCTATGTACTTAAACAAAATATACCTGTGTGCAGTGTTAAACAAGCACTCAGGGTCTATACAGAGCTACACAGGTTTCATTTTTCTAAGCATACTTCCCTGGGCTCTTTCACTTGACTGAAGGCCCTTCAAGAACTGTTGTGTTAGGTCTCTGTTTGATGTGATCCATTTCTCTGGAAAAGAGACCTGCTGTGAAGACTAAGACTTGATCCTCCTGAGGCTATCATTTGATTTTAATTCTGAAATATCTGTAGCTTTATCTTATCCTCTTGCTGGGCCATGTGGGTCTGAGATGAAAACGAAGTGTTGTCTTATGCTAGGAGTGAGACGGTCAGCCCTGTCTTTGCATGTGGTGACTTGTCCCCTTCTCCCCCATTTTACTCCACAGCTACTTCCCCACGAGTGTCCTCTGAGCTGGAGCAGGCCCGGCCACAGACAAGTGGAGAAGAGGAGCTGCAGCTGCAGCTGGCACTTGCCATGAGCAGAGAGGTAGCAGAACAGGTCAGTGCTTGTGTGGTCGAGCCCATGGGGTCTTTTACCCCTGGTGTTCTTTGGGGGAGGGAACATCCCAGAGAGGATGACACACACAGCCCTGTCTTTAAGACACTTACTTGATGAGTTCATGTCTTGTGGCTAGCCCAGGTAGAGAGAGCTATATTTTGGAAAGGTTTTCAGGGAGGTCAGTGTCCATAGAAGCAGCTAACCCTGAATGAAGTTCCTGTGCAGACTTAACATCCGGGGACTCCCGAGGGAGCTACATGCCCGCAGCTTCCTTGAGGTTCCAGTATATATAGGGCAATGAGCAGGACAGGTTCTGGGTTGAGGGTAGTGGGTAGGTGGGGTGGGCCTGGTCCCTGCCAAGGCAGTCTATCCTGTGACAGTTGTGTGGGAGAAGGCTAGAAGGGAAGCTCCAGGAAAGAGGGTGCATGTGGGCATGGTAGAAGCAGTATAGATTTTTTTTTTTCCCCAAGTGTATGGTAGGATGGAACCCAGACCCTTCTGTAAGGAAGTGCTCTAATAGCCTGTGTGTGCTTTTGTTCCCCTCTATACCTTGTTTTTAATAAGCATGCATTACTTTAAAGTGGAGGAGCAAAAGGGGCCATTCAAACACCTTTAGACAGTGTCCCTTTGCTTTCAGTCATCAGAAAGCGTGCAGACAGCCAGAGGCAGCAAGGTACACCCCTCGTTTGGAGAGAAGAATGTTGGGTGTTAAATGTGAACACAGAGAGGTTTGGCCGGCATAGTTGGTATGTCTGTAACAGCAATAAGGGGCAGTTTTGAACATGGCCTCTGCCCCCTGTAGAGAACCTGCAGCCATTAAATCTGCCCATGTGGAAGCTCCACGGGATCAAGGTGCCCAGGAGGTTTCTGGGATGGGTGGATAGCCTCAGCCTTTTTAGCCAAAACCCAAGAATGTTTTTAATCACATAGACATTAAGCCAGGTCTGTCTTTTGCAAGTGACTTACCCTTAAATAAGATGAATTGTGTCTACTAGAAATCACAAAACTACCATTCTTTGGGGAGTATCCACTGTGGGGATTGGAATGAAGTATGATTTTCAACTTTTCTAAGCCTTTCCTGGTTGTCAGATTGTGCTCTGTAAGGAGACACTGCTTTTACTCTATGTGGATGAATGGTTTGCCTGAGTATATGTATATGTACCATCTGTGTGCCTGTTGCCTCCCTTGAAACTGGAGTTACAGGTAGTTGTGAGCCACCATGTGGGTGCTGTATACTGGGTCTTCAAGTGCTCTTAAATGCTGAGCCAGCTCTCTAACCCTGGGACAATACTTGAGATAAAGTATTTTGTTTCCCAATTTTGGTAGTGCCTGAGTATTGTTGGTATGACCTCAGACAGCCTCTAAAGGGGGAACCTCTGAAGGGGGAACCTCTGTGAGCCCCCTGGGAGTGGAAAGCCATTGTGTCCAGCTGAACTGTATTCTCCCTTGAAATGCCACATGATACAGGACCTTTCCTGTTGTTGGGCAGTGTGGCCTCAGGCCCTGCTGTGTGGCTGTCAGCATTACCCTCGGCCTCAAGTCCCATTGTCCCACTCCAGGAAGAACGCCTCAGGCGGGGTGATGACCTGAGATTGCAGATGGCCCTGGAAGAAAGCCGGAGAGACACAGTGAAGGTTCCAAAGAAGAAAGAGGTGAAAGCATGCTGCAAGGTAAATGTGCAAATCTCTTGTAGGCGATTGTTTCAGGCACCCTGCTATCTACAGTGAGGAGGGACCTGTGGTAGGATGCCAGCCGAACCCATGCTGTGGTGAACACCAGTGAGAATACAATAAAAAAACAGGTAGCAAGCTGGGCATGGTGGCACGCTCCTTTAATCCCAGCACGCAGGGAGGCGGAGGCAGGTGGATTTCTGTGAGTTCAAGACCAGCCTGGTCTACAAAGCAGGACAGCCAAGGCTACAAAGAGAAACTGTCTCAAAAAACAAAACAAACAAAATCCAAAACGAAAAAAGAAAATAAGAAAAGAACACGTAGCAACCAGGGGACAATACTTAACACCACTGTAAAAGGAGGATAGCAGCAGCAGTGACTGCCTCACAGTGACCCCTTTTTTTTTTTTTTTTTTTTTTGGTCCAGAGAAGCCATTGGTTATATTGGTCTTTGTCTCCCTTTACCCCAACCTCTATCACCTCCAACCCCCACATTTTGATAGGCTGTGACATAGAAGTGACCAGAATGTGGTTCTACTTCTGAACAGACTTATCATGTCAGGGATGCTAGTGGCATCACCTACTGTGATGTTACAGGGCCCTGATGACAGATGCTGCAATCATGGGAACAGGAAGGGCAGGAAGCCAGAAAGACAGACAGACAGGCAGGCACACCCACCCACACACACACACAGTGAGAGCCAGCTGGTCCTCTTGCCCTCCCTCAGGCTGGATAGTGGGTAGTGGTAGTCAGGAAACAAAGGCAGGTGAAGAGGGATGATAATGGGTGGTCACAGTCCGAGCTAATGCCAGCATTATCCTGAGAGAGTTTGGGATCCCTGAGAACTCTTAAAACTTGTGGACATGTAGCAAACCTTAAGTACCTTGGTATATTGGATCTCTGGCTGCTCAGGGACACCAAAACATTAGTGGAGTTTTGGAGTTGGAACAGTTCAATTTCTGGACTTTGCCCAGGAGGCCTGTGCTGTGGTAAGAACTAATAATATTTATGCTTAGTATGTGAATATCTGCTTTGACTGTAACCAAGTAAAACCATTCCTTCTGTTTGTCTTAACAGCCAGGCTCCCACTCACAGCAGACTACACTGTTGGATTTAATGGATGCTCTCCCCAGCTCAGGCGCTGTTACCCAGAAAAGTGAGCCCTGGGGTGCTGGGCCCTCTGCTAACCAGACCAACCCCTGGGGTGCAACAGCGGCTCCTGTGAACATTTCTGATCCCTGGCCATCATTTGGTAAATAGCTTGCTCTTGGTTTCCTAGGCTTGCTTGGTTGATGGGGAGATGCTTTCTCTCAGCTGGTTGGCTTCCTTGTAGGAGATCAAGCTGCTCTGAGCAGGACCTTCTTAGGGGACAGAGGTGCAGTGTTCCTGAATTTTGACTGGTTTTCTGCTTTGGGAAAACGAAAGCCGACATCCTTACTGCCTTGTCCATGAATCAGAAATTACTTGTCCTTGATATCACTCAAATTTCAGTTCTTAGAACTGCATCCAGCTCAAGTTATACATACACAGAAACCTAAAGTGAGTTGGAAATGAGATCTGCTTACCACCACTACTAATGCAGGGCGGACATGTTTGCTGTTATTCTTGTTATTTAAAGCAATAATAAGTTATTTAATGAATCTTATTTCTGAGTTTTGCTTATTGGTAAATGTAAGAGATTTTAAATCAAACTTGAAACATGAATAGTAGAGTTGAAAGCAGCAGAATTGGTTTATTCTGGGTGATGTTCCTGGCACATGAAGCTTTTTATTTTTTGACAGGATTTTCTGTGTAGCCTTTGCTGTCCTGGACTTGCTTTGTAAACCGGACAGGCCTCGGACTCACAGAGATCTGCCTGCTTCTACTTCTGAGAGTGTTGGGATTGTGGATGTGTGCTACCGCACCTGGCCACATGAGTTTTCTTAATTGCTGGTAGGGAATTAGGCTTTGTGTTACTGGCCTGGTGCTCTGAGTCCTGTTGGACATGCCTATGATGTGTGTACCTGGGTCTCCTGTAGTTCTTATTTTCCTAAACTGGACCTTTTTTTTCTTTGCTCAGTTATATGGATGGATGTTAAAGTATACCAAGTGTCAGACTCTGTCCTGCCATGGGAAGACCCTGGGACACACAGATAATGAATGGTTTCTGTTCTGGTCAGGATGGGGACAACTGGCAGTGGTGCAAACCAGGCTTTGGCAAGGGCCTGTCGGGTCACAGCAGTGAGGTGAACATCCTAGAGGTAGATGGGCACCGAGAAGCATAGTGTCCTATAGAAGAGTGTGTGTCAGAAGTCTTAGGAATCAGGTGGGGAGAAGGAATCCAGACACAAGGACCTGTGTATTGTGATTTGGGCAGCAGGTAGGAAGGTGAGGGGAAAGGAGTGGGTGTCGGGTTATTCAGGGACTGGTCCTCATCTTACAAGTGCTTATATTTGGTCTAGAAGCTGTGTCAGCCTCAGATGCTCTTTGGCATACTCTTAGCTATAGTGACCATATGGGGCCTGCCCACTTCCTGGGGCCAAGTAGTGTTGCCTGAATTCTTATTCCTTGGCGACCAGAAAACCTGTGGTGGTTGTACTCTGAAGAGCCGAATATAGGTTGTGTAAGGCAGATGTCAAAGTACTGTGGTGTCCCAGGGATAGTAGCCTTTCCAGTAGTGGCTTTGACACTGCTTCCCCTCCTCCCAAATCTGAAACACAGTCCCTTTGTCAAATGACTATTCTTGAGGTCCACCTAGAGAAGTGATGGGTGGGATCAGGGTCACTTATGGAGGCTACGCTAGGAAGTGTGAGGTAGGACACATCCTCCTGTACCAGAGTCCTTTGTTGGCATATGTCCTGTGCCTGTTCTTCAGATGGTGATGAAATTCACCATGTTGACAGTTTTAAACTGGCGTATTTAAAAACAACAACAAAGCAATAAAACAACACATTCACAGAGCTGTGTAACTGTTGTACCAGGTACATTTATTTCCATGACTCCAGAAGGAACCCGGCACCTAGCCACCGTCTACTACTCTTTCCTTGATCCTAAAGACTTGTTGTGGACAGTTCAAATGAATGAAGTCACATCTCTGTAGCTTTCATTTGTTAGAAGCTTGTCTACAGGGTGGCGGCGGTTTAGCCCCTTCCTGTGGACGTGGCACATCATTCACACATTCCACTCCTGTTGGACATTTGCACTGCACTTAGTTTCTGGCCATTGTGAATCCAGTTTTCAAGAGCGAAGATTTGAACTAAAAGCCACATGATCAAAATCTGTCAGTGTTTAAATGTTGGTGTGGATTAAAACTTTTCTAACATGGGTGCTGCTCATGGATAGCTATCTGAGGGCTGAGCCCTGTGGCGTTTCTCTGTGTACTTGCGCACTCTTGGTTCTCACATATTTGGCTTCATTTGACATATTTTACTTATGGCTGGAGGAATACACAGACCACCAAGGCTCAGAAAGGTGGTGGTTCTGTGCAGGCTCACAGAGATAGTTAAGGAAGGACCAACTCAGAGTTTATGGTCGTACATCCTGGATTGCTGGGAAGTTGTGCGTCCTGCTAAGTTAGTGTGCATCCTTCTGGCATGAAGACGGCTGTTGATAAATCTCACCTATCTACTTTCTTTCCCTCTGACATTGTTCATCCTAATTGAGGTCACACTCAGCCACACATACATTTTCCAGCTCTGCTGTGCGGTGTATATGCCCAGGAACCATTGGAAACCATTGTACTCATTCACATGGTATTCACTGGCACTGTGTGGCTAGGCCACTAGTTCTTCAGCAGCTAGGTGTCCTGTGCAGGTGCTATTGAAAAATGATGCTGAAGTCACTGTTCTCAGGGCCTTGCCTCAGCTACCAGGCAGGTGTTTTGCTTCTTGTACCTTTGAGCTGGCTCCAGAGCAGGCATGTGATTCGGGTTTACTGCTTATCCTCTGCTAAAACCCAAATGTAGAGCCTCTCCTCAGTCCCAGGATACTCATAATATTAAAGCCTCAGCCCATAGCACAGAGCTGCTCTCTGCATGAAAGGAGTGCTTTTCTGAAAGCCACCATTTATAGTGGGTCCCAATATTACCAGTTCTTTCCAAGCAGCACTGGGGACTGCTGAGCCAAGTGGCCTTGGGAGGAAATGCTAAGTCCAGAGGAGGGAAGTTGGAGGCTGCCAGGTCAGCGGGGCACTTCCTCTTCTGTTCTAGACACACAAAGCTGCCACCTGGTCTGAAGAGGCCTCACAGCCTGGTAATTCAGAAGGCTTTGGCTGGCTTGTTCCCCTTACTGTCTGCCCACCTACCAGAGCCAAGGCCAGGACTGAGCCTAACTTCCGCAGGGCAATAGCAGGTGTGTTCTGGCTTCTTGATGACCCCAGTATGACTGTGACTGCCGGCTGTGCACATGAATATTCATCTCCCCACTGGGCTCCATGTGAATGGACCTACAGAAGAGGCGGAAGCTGCTGTCTCTGAACTTGTTTCCATTCTCCTTTCTCACTCATTTGAGCTTTAAATAAGCCTTTATTTATTGGGTGTGTGGCATGGCAGGATCTACTGATGCCAGGCTCTAAAGGTATAGAAGAGCCTTGTAATGGCCTCACTGCCCTATCTATCTCTTGAGGGCAGCTGGGCCATCCCTGTGTCTACTACCTTTCTTGTGGAGCTAGGAGTGAGGGGTGGCACTCTCTTTATAGAGTACTGGCTATAGGACTGCCTACTTACTTGTATCTATGGTGTTCTACTCATTTGGCACTAAATTCAGCTCACCAGCTTGCCGAGTCCCAGATATACACACCTAGGACCCCAGTGTCACTTGCAGAATGGAAACTTGATTGCTCGTTTGGGTTCAGGTGATCTATGTCATTTGGGATTGGCAAGGGTTTGAGCTGAGCATGCATTTCATTCCCCGTTCAGAGCTCTGAGTTAATTACTTTGTTCCTGCTGGTTCTGCATGCTTACTGCTGGCTCAGGAGGAGAGCATTGCCGGGGTCCAGGCTGGTGGTGGGTAGGCAGGGAAAGCTCTGGAACTTGGACTGTGAAGTATAGGCAGCCTGCCCCCTCACATTGCTAATCTTTGTATTGGCTTATTCTGCCTGAAGGACTTCTCCTACAAAGATTTATTTCACTTTTATTTATGTATGTATACCACAAGTGTAGGGGTGCCCGTGGAAGCCAGAAGAGTGCATTGGATCCCCTGGAGCTGGAAGTACAGGTTGCTGTGAGCCACCTGGTGTGGGTTCTGGGACGCAAACTCTATTGTCTGGAAGAGCATCAAGCACTGCTAACCACTGAGTTCTCTTTCCAGCTCCACTCTTGTTTCTTTTTAAAGGCTTGGGTGTCTGCCTAAGGAGGTGTGGTCACCCTGTTCTCAGGATCCCCTCTTGTCCTTTGTTCTGGCTCTTGGCTGCCTATTGTTTTCGGGTTGGTGCAATGACTTGTTTCTTCTTAGGGGCAGGGACCATCCTGGGGCTTGACTGGAGGAATGCTGAACAATTGATAGGGTAGAATAAGGCGACTGTGCAGGAGCCCCAGGCTGTGTGCCTGAACTAGGTGGCTCTTGCATGAAAGGGGGGGGGGGGGCTTGGAGCAGGACTCTGAGTACATCAGGAGCTCAGATTAGCATGTAGCCCGGCTCCCTTTTATCTCAGAATGGACCTGCTAAATGTCTGTGCTAGGTCTTCCTCAGAATCTGTGTGCTTTGGGAGACAGTGGTATTTTACTAAAGTTCTCGGGGTTTCTAAGAACAGTGATGGTCCCACACCTGTGTCCCCAGTTCCCAACAGTGTGTAAGCCCTTGGGATGCTCTCTGTGTGTACTCTCAGTGCAGCCCTGAGAGTGACATAGAGAAGCTCATTCCAAAGTTTCTGTATGACTTTTGGGAATTGGGGTTTACTTTAGCCAGGAAGAGTGTCCCTGGTTGTCAGGGTAGTGTCTGACCCCCTTTGACTATGGAAGTGGATGAGGAAGAAAGTAGTAAGGTTTTCTTTGCGAAGGAAAGGACAGTGGGGTCTAGAAATGATAGGATGTGTCTCCTTATGTAGGCAAGGAGGAAGGAAAGACAGAAGCAGTCTTCTGAGAGGCATTGGTAGTCAGTGTAGTCAGTCACTGTTGGACAGTGAGGTCTCCTCAGCTTGTGTTCCTCTGGTGGCAGCTGAGAGACCAGAGAGCCTTGCAATGGGTGTTTCTTTTGTGTACCTGTAAGGTGCCTGTGAGCAGGAAGAGACCAGGAAGACATGCTTTGTTACTAGGGCTTCCATGTGGCATTGGTCCTGGGATCTCTTGTGTCATTATACCACAGCCCTTCTGGCTTCCTGCCCAGCCCTTTCCCTGGCAAATCATTTCTACCATGTTACTTTCTGCAGTCAGGACAGAGTCATGCTTGATGAGGTATGTACCTTCTTGGGGAGCAGAATAAGGGCTTAGTTAACCCTGTAGTGTGAGTTCAACTGAGGCCAGGTTCACAGTCCTGGAAAAGCATCACAAAGACAGAAGAGAATCTTGAAGTGTTTGTTCCAGGCCCATAGGGAAACTAGGAGGCGCTGGGTGAAAGGAGGTTTTGGAAGCCTGATGTTCTGGGGTAGCAATAATAGAGGCAGAAATAGGAGTTGGCAGGCCATGAGGACAGAAAAAAAATGTCATTTGGGAGTGCTTCTTTGGCAGTGGGTATCATCTAGCTAGCCCTAAGCTCTTGGTTGTGTCACTGCAGCAAGCCTGCGTTCATTCCCACCCCTTCTGCACTGTACTAGCCAGTAGCCTAGTCAGACCGGAAGTTAGAGAAGCATGGGGATAGTGACTGCAGTGTCTCAGTAGGATCCAAGTAAGTCTGCTGGCATTTTAGAGCCTTGTAGGCATAAAGTTGTGTGCTAGAACGTCATCTTTAACACCTGTGGAGTGTTCTACCTCACAGGAGTGGTCTAGGGGAATGGAGTCCTTTTCAGAGCTCAGAGAACAGTCCTTGGCTTCCTGAGATTGACAAGTCCTTGTTGCTTTTCTCTGAGCCCTGGCACATCCTGGTTGTCACAGTCTTCTTGGGTGTCCCTCCATGGCTAGAGTTGGGGCTGGAATTTCGCTCTTCTACCATAGGGAGTTTAGTTTAGGAAAAACCCCTAGTTAGATAAGTGGTTTTCGTAAATGGTCTAAAAGAAGGTAAGTGGAGGATTCCAGAGTGACTGGGCATGAAACAGTGGTCCCAGAAGACAGATTGGGGTGGGGGGGGGGTGTCAGGTTGCTGGGGGTTGCTGAGATAGAAGGCAGAACATTTCTCTGGTGTGTCCGAGGAGCATAGGGAGTCAGTGTGGCCAAGCTAGGCATGGAAGGTGTGTGGATAGCTCTAGCTCGAATCTCTTGGAGTTCCTGAAGAGTTCATGTCTGAAGGGGACGATGACCAAGAACACTATAAACGTCATTGTTCAGGAAGCTGAAGAATGCTAAGGCAGCTTTCCAGGTAGCCTGTGTAAGCAAAGGAAGACTATGTCCAGGAAACAAGCTGGACAGTGCCAGTGTTGAAATTTAGAAGCATCAGATAGTGGTGATACATGCCTTTAATCCCAGCACTCTCTGTTTTTTCAAATTATTTTTAAAATGTATTTATTCAATTTACATCCTGATCATAGCCCCCTCCCTCCTCTCTTTCCAAGTCCCATCCTTCCTCCCTTTTCCACCTATCTCCCCTCCCCTCCACCTCAGAAAATAGGGTCCCTCCTCTACCAACTCACTCTAGCACATCAGGTCCCATCAAGACTTAGTGTATCCTCTTCCCCTGTGGCCTGGTGTGGTAGTCTCACCAGGGGAAGTGATCAAAAAGCAGGCAACAAAGTCCATGTCAGAGACAGCCCCCTTACTAGGGAACCCACATGAAGCTGCAGCTGCCCATCAGGGGGCCTAGGTCCAGTCCATGCATGGTCCTTTGGTGCTTCAGTCTCTTCAAGCTCTTCTGGGTCCTGGGTTAGTTGGCTCTCTTGGTCTTATTGTGGAGCTCCTGTCACCTCCAGGTGACACCTCCTTTCCCCCACTTTTCCACAAGACTCCCTACACTTCACCCAAAGTATGGCTATAAGTCTCAGCATCTGTTTCAATTCACTGCTGGTGGAGCCTCAGAGGACATGTATGTGAGGCTCCTGTCTGCAAGCATAGCAGAGTATTGTTAATAGTGTTAGGGACTGGCTGTCTCCCATGGTGTGGGTCTCAGGTTGGGCCAGGTATCGATTGGACATTTCCTTAATTTTTGCTCCATCTTAATCCCTACACATCTTGTAGGCAGGGTAAATTTTGGGTGGAAATTTTTGTAGGTGGGATGGTGTTACCTAACTAAATGACTTTTTATGATCAATACGGAAAAATAAGAGCCAGGGATAGCCAAACTAAAGGATTTGCCATACCAGTTATTAAAAATCATCATCATTCCTAGTACTTGAGAGTAGAAACCAGAGGATCAGAAGTTCAAGGTTGGGGTTGGGGATTTAACTCAGTGGTAGAGTGCTTGCCTAGCAAGCGCAAGGCCCTGGGTTTGGGGGGGAGAGGGGGAAGAAGAAGTTCAAGGTTGCGAGGGTGGTGGTGCATGCCTTCAATTTCAGGACTCAGGAAGCAGAGGCAGGCAGATTTTTCTGAGTTCAAGGCCAGCCTGATCTACAGAGTAAGTTCCAGGACAGCCAAAACTACACAGAGAAACCCCGTCTGGAAAGAATAAAACAGAAAAACAACAAAAAGGTCATCTTCAGCTACATAGTGAGTTGAGGCTAGCCTGAGATATGTGAGACTCTGTCATGAGGGGAGAGAAGAGTCGTTATCATATATGTGTGAAGATAATTAATATTGTGCAGAGAAGGAAATCAGTCAGTAGGCCAGTGTAGCAGAGTAGGGAGCTCCATAATAAACACCTGAAGATCTGAGATGGAATAGTCACTTTAATCAATCTGCTGATGTGAGTTAGTCAGACAAGAGATAACCCTAGAGGATGCTTGATGTCAGATACAGACCTGCAGGAGGAGGGTGTGAAAGGATGTACGTGTTTATTAGGGACCAAAGAAATAAAACTAGTGCAAAGTACACTTGTATGTACCACTTTGGTACAAATGGAAGAACTAGATAACATCAGAAAGTTTGAGGCATCTTCCAGGGCGATAGGCCCTGATTAGAGGGTTATAGACTGTTGGAACCAACATGGGAATAGTTCTGGCATTGCCTACTGAAAGTGTAGGGGCCTGGGGCCCAGCAGTTGTCGTGTGTGCACAGAACAAAGGGATGTGAACACAAACAGGCAGACACATAAAGCACACTCAGGGACTACCAGAGTGGACTTTCTCATGGATAAATTTTAGCTACTTCTCAGCAAAGGCTAATTCCACACATAAGATGTGTAGTAAACAAAGCCAGCCATTAAAGAATGCACGCACTTGTGCGCGCGCGCATACAC